TGTTTGTTTAAGTTACTATTGTTCGGAGATTGTTTTTCTTTTACACTCTACACAAGAAATAAAAAATTATAAGGCCAGCTTTATGAAATGGGTTTACAAATAAACTGACTGAAGTGATTTATTAAAGGAAAAAAGATGCAAAATAATATCCCCTTCCCTGAAATCGCCTCTAATGTTTTTTTTAATTGCAAGTCAACGATCAAGTCTTTTTGTGTGACCTAATCAATTTGGAATTTTGTTTTACTATTCATTACTTATTAATCGTACAATTATGTTATATTTTAAATTCATGTTATTTTCTTCTTTGGCACCATGTCACCATCTTTAACTTAATACATTGTCATGTAATTTCTAGGTCCTAATCGGCGGCGAAATTTATATAGTATAATTTTGTGAAATTATTTAAATAATTGTCTCAACTGATCTTTTTTATTTATATGTATAATCCGTAGTTTCTTAAATCTATTATTGAAAATAGCCTAAAAATGTTTACATTATCAAGTCAATGAGCAAATGGTCTCCACATCCAAACTGGAGAAGTCTTTATGCGGACAAGTCAATTCTCCGCTTTTTTTAATATTAAGCAATATTTATATTATTTGATTAAAATTAAAGTGTGAATTATATTGATATCTTTTAGGTTTAAATATATTTATTAGCGTTTTCTATCTATAAAACTAGAAAAAATCTCACACAAAGATCATAAAAATTACTAAATCTTGAATATATAAGAAATTTCTACAAAAAAGTATTACTGTTTACAAGTTAAGTGTATTGAAAACCTATTAAAATGTAGGAACTAGGAAACAATCCTAATTTGAAATTTAATAATTTTTTAGGTTTTTGTGTGAAATTTTTCATAAAATTATCTTTGTATATGATGTGTCTTCGTTTTATAACATATTTTTCCATAATAATTTGTAGTTTATTACTAAATATAATTTATTAATTTTTATTATTTTTGTAAGTAAAGATTATTTGTCATCATATTCATAATTTTTCCCTTTTTTGGGAAAGGGGTGAAAAGTTCTATTTGAAAATCTTATTGAATGGAAGGACCTTAATCTGAGTGCTTGTATTTTCTGAATATGAAATCTTACAAAGTATTAATATTTTTGTGTGTATAAAAGCATTCATTAGGTCTTTCTAATTAATAAAATTAACACTATGTTTTTATTAAAAAAATGTTGACACGAGTTCGGTCATGTGAACTTAAAAACTACCAGCAGAAATATCTGTAGATCGCCCTCCTAAAAAATTCTTTATTATTTATATTAATAGTGAGATTTTTTTTGAATAGATACTGGAAATCATATTACTCAATCTCGAAAAAAATGCAACAGCACACTTTCCTTTACAGAGTGTGCTTTTGATAGCTTTGGTTCCTCCTGCTTCTCCAAGCAGTGCCCCTCTCGTGATGTTTCGTAGTTGAATTTGAACAAAGACGGGTTGGAATGTGTTACTTTTTAAATATTAAAAAATGAGCAAACATTATTGTCATGGTATCATATGCTCTGAGGGGACGCCTCTTAAAAAATTCTTGTGGCCAAACCAATCTTTTGCAGGGTTTGCTTTTCACAGCAATTGCTGATGAGCTGCCCTCCTATGGATCTATAACACCAATCCGCATATTACTACAGACAAACCTTCTGTACAAGTTTACTGTGTTGAGAAGAGATTTCTTCAGCTTCCTTCTCATGATACCTCTGTTCTCAATATCACTTGGTAAGAAATACTTGCTATTGTTCATCATTTCTCTTCCTTTAATATTGGTGTTATTTCTAAACCTTGTTTTCTTAGTTTTAATTCTGCCAAAGAAGGAATGTTAAGTATTTGTAACTTATAACTACTTTTATCTTGAATATCATTTTGTCTTTGGTTCAAAAAAAGAAAAAAAAAAGCAACAGCAAGTATTTAGTCCCCTTCACCAAGCTCCACCTCTTGAATTTGAGATGGTGGTTGATCTAGGAGACACCAACTATCCTCTAATCTAATAGTGAGATTTGAATCAGAACTTTATAAGCCAAATTCTTATTATCTAGATGAGTATATATCTTTAATTCGTTCTAATTAAGACTATTGCTTGTGAACCACTGAAATGTGCAAGAGATTCGCACGTTAAATCATACCATCACTGCTATCCAGGTCATCAATACTAATATTTAATAAAAATAAATTTCTTTGTTTTATAGAGCCCAGCCAATAAATTTCCCAGAAATTAGTATTTGTATCATTTTGATGGCAAAAGTTTAAAAAATAAAGGGCAAAGGTGCAAATTTATGATGATCTTATTTTCATGTGTACCCAACAGTCTGATCTTTCTAGTAGTATAATTTTACCTGTGATTTTTTTAGTGTAATAGGAGTAAAATTGTGCCCAGAAAATAAGATCATGAGTAAAATTACATAATAATAAAAAGATCATGGTAAAATGGCACCACTAAAAGGATTGAGGTGTTGGATGCACATACAAAAATAAGATCATGGGTAAATTTACACTTCTACCCAAAAATAAATCACACTAACAGTTTTCGCTTCATGTTTTTTTATCAAATTTCAATTAAACTTCAAGCCTTATTCACCACTAAGGAAGTGTGTGTACAAGGAGAATTGCAATGAGGTCCAGAAAAGGAAAATAATTACAAAACAAATGTCAAAAGTTATTATTTCTTATCCTAGAACTTGTCATTATAGACCGCTTAAATTATTATTGAGACTTTTTAGTAATTATTTGCCTTCATTGCGACCTCATTGTAATTCTCCCACATATATATAAGGAAAATTGAGAGTAAATTATATTAATACTCTTTTAGATTTAAATGTCTTTGATTGAAAGCCTTTAATTCAACTTCTTTTCACTTGATTTTTTTGTTAATAAGATTGTCTTTATATGCAGTTTTTACTCTTTTATTTTTCATTTTCTCTTTATTCAAAATTTTTTATTAATTTTTCTTATTGTTGTATCTTACATCTTTTTTTATTAAAATTGTATAACCCCATTTTTTTTCCAACTTTTCATATCAATTTCTTTGGTCCATCCATGTTGGCATGTTATCTAACTTTTAGTCATTGTCCTCCACTTTTCTGAAACCAATTAAAATAATGTCCTTAATTATTCGACTAACCAACAGGAGTAAGCAGCACATTTATCTTCCAAGGGCACAATTTTATAAAATAAAGATGAATTCTGTTATACTCCCTCCGTCCCTTTTTATAAGCAACCTTAGACTCTATCATGTAGATTAAAAAAATTAGTCAAAGACAATAAATAAGTAGAAATTAAAAATTTCTTATTTAAAATACCCTTATTTATGGGGGAGAGAGAGTATAAGAAAAAGAATAAAAAATTAGTATAATAAAGATAATCACGAAGGAGAGAGAATATAGATGGAGTGAAATAATGGTTTGAAAAATGAGATAATAAATATATTGGGTATTAAAATAAATAATTAATGAAAAAAAAGAAGAAAATTTGCTGTAAAAATTTAACACAACTCGCAAATATTGCTCATATTTAAGGACAAAAGGGAATGGTTGTTGTTACTTATAAAAAATGAGGGATGGAGTAGTTGGCAAAAGAAAAAAAGAAAGATGAATTATATTATCTTTCTCTCTCATCTTTTTTTAACAAAATGACTCTCAATGTCCTAGAAACAACATCATTCCCCAGTCAATGCGCTACTCTTCCAACAACCCAGTCAGTTTAGAACATCTCTCTATTTTTTTGGAAAAAAATTAATATCATCAATTGTAATTCCTAAGGTCATGTTTGATATGAAGTACTAAAAATGAGGGATATAGACTATAATTACAATTAAAAAAATCATTAAAAAAGTCTTTATCATGAGTAATTGCTTGTTACATGAGATTAAGCAAACAAATAAAAGTAGGATTGGGGAATATCACTTCTCTAATGATATTCCTTAATCCCATATACATGGGTTTGTTTAATCCCATGTAAATAAGCAACTTTCATATTAAATATTATTTTTCCAATCCCAATCCCAATCCCAACTCCAATTCTAATCCCAATCCTTCATTTTTAATACTTTGTACCAAATGGTAGCTAAGGGTGTACTAGATGCAATCATTAGGATTATTTGAAAAAATAATTATAAATTTGTGAAAAGAAATGAATCATGATATTATATTTAAAATCAAAACAAATTCTTTAATTAGCTCATCTATATTTATATTAGAGGGAGTATAAGTCAGTCTACATATGGTCAATAAATAAAGCTGCTTTTATTCTATCATCTATTTGGGCAATTGGCGGAGAAATGGTAAAAGCAAAAACATTTTAAGAAATAACAAATTAAATGAATGATACATGGCCAATGGAAACTTCATTATCGTTAATCACTAGGAAAAGAAAAATTTAAAAGCAACTTTCTCGAGTCACCGTCAAAATAGAGGCACTTAAGCGTCATTGAGCTAGAAGGTTCCTATAATTTGACCAACATTTAATTTGATCGTAAATGAAAGGAATTGAATTTAGGATGATTTTGTTGAGAAGGATGAAAAGCAATAGGTGGGGGACCCATGTGTTGAAGATAAGATACGACCAAGTCAATTTAAAATTTTTTTTCTTTTATTAATATACTATCCCTTATTTCTAATATAAAACTCATTTAACTAATTTAGAAACATTAAAAAAGCTAAATAAATTACTTTGAAATATTTGTATTTATTATTTTTAAAAACCGATTTACTTAACTGATAAACCACTATATAATCTAGTGAGATGCACAGGTATTTTAAAGATATTATGTAATATATGTTATAATTAAATAATTAATTTAATTTAATTTATTTTTTAAAATTAATTAAACAAGTCTTGTATTAAGAACAGGAAATAGAATATCAAACAACAGTTTATATTCTGATTGGATTTAGGTGGGCGGAATTGGTAGAAACCAATACTGAAGAACTTTTACGACTTTTTGGCCTGAAACCCACTTCTACCAATTTGAAAGCCCTTTATTTCAACTGTGCTCCTCTTTCCTGGAGACTATAAATAGAGAGGAAGAGTGAGCGTAGTATATACAAAAGCCAAATCACAAGAGTCATATATTGCTGTAAAATATGAAGAAAGCTATTCTAATTGCTTTTCTCATTTGGGTTTCTGCCATATTTCTCTCCCTTCCCTCTTCCACTCATGCACGTCTATTACAAGGTAACAACTTCAACTTCGTTTGTTCTGCTGCTTTATCATCATCATCATCTTACAGTCTCATTCACCTGTGACTAGCATCTTGCCTCAGTTATGAAATTACTATTATGCTAATTAATTATTTTCTGTTGTGATTTCTGAATATATTAAATTGATACCCCTATGGTCCTATTTATAAATCATATATTTCCAACACATGTTTTCTTTAAACTTTATTAACTCTGCTTTAAAATTTAATAGCTATTTTTTTTAACTTTATCTTTCTATAATATATACACCTTTCAAGAAAATAATAATTGATACGTAATAATAAACAAAGAGTAAAACAGTATATTCATGTTAAAAATTTAATCAGATGACCAATATAAATAGAATCAGATGAGCATGTTATATTGATGTTTGTATGTAAATATTATATATGATGACGATGCAGAAAGGACATCAATAACCTCGCCAACGCCGGAGAAGAATACGCCTGCAGTAAAATGTCCTCCTGGTTCTCGTTATGCTGCTTGCCTTCCACCACGAGCAAAGCCCATTCCAAAAGCTCCTTGCAATCCCTATGAGCGTGGCTGTAAGAAGTAGGAAATAAAAGAAATATATGAATGATACGTATAAGGTATAATAATAATATATAGTCCTTTTGCTTGGTGGAAGATCATGATAACAATCTCCTAATAATCCATTATTAAATAAATTACTCTCATGTTTCTGTGTCATGTGTGTTGTTTCAGCTTTTGATTATCATTTCTCCTTTGAGGAAAATGTCTTCATGCCTAGATTATTTGATGGGAAGTCGAGGTTTAGGTTTCTCATGAATTCTACATGTACGTGTGAGCGTGAGAATTATGTAATTCTTAAATTTATGTGCTGGTGTTGTACTTGAAATAAAGAATTAACTCCACTCCTGCCCTTTTTGCCATCTTTTTAATTAGTTTTTCATAGAGTTACTTCTGGGAAGAAAAAGAAAAACCGAGGGAAATGGTCCAAATCTTGAATTATTTAATTTATTGCATCACTTGAGGAAAAAAATATTAGAATTTGATCAATGAAAAGTGATAAAATTAAGTTAATTAAGTATAGCATATTTGAGTAATTTTTATTTTATATTATTTAAATCTTATCTGGCCATCTTTTTCTTCTTATGCAAGTAGCTCAATTTAGTTTTCTCTAATCATCCCCATGGAAAATTTCTCACGAGCTGAACCCTATGAGAAAACAGTTAAAAACATTTAAAGAAAGTGGCCATTTCTCACTCTAAATGTTCAAGAAATTAAATGACTGTTCATACATAAATGGAATTCGTAATCCCAAAATTTTTAAAATAATTATTTCATATTAACAAATGTTAATGTCTTCAAGTTACTTATATTAAAGGAAAAACGATACAAAATAATACCCATTTCCTAGAAATCGCCTTTAAATTGTTTTCATTAATTTCAAATCAACGATCAAGTCTTTCCATGACCTATTCAATTTGGAAGTTTATTTTAATATTCATTACCCATTAGTTGTACAATTATTGTCATGTGTCTCTTGTTATACATTTTAACTTCATGTTACTTTCTTCTTTGGCACTGTATATATACACGTATATGCGTGCCTATGTGTGCATTTCCTGAAATAATAATATCACCATCTTCAACATCAATAATACACTGTCATTTCGAGGTCATAATTAATCTTTTTTGGCCAAATTTCTAGTTAATCGCGGCGACCAAATATATATACTATAACTTTGTAAAATTATTTAAATATAATCCACAATTTCTTAAATCCATTTCTTGAAAATAGCCTTAAAACTGACCACGTTCTCAAGTCAATGAGCAAATCTTCTCCAGCCCAAAGCTGGTCAATTCTCCCATTTTTTAAAATATTAAGGCATTTTTAGGTTGAGCAACATGAACTTTTTTTCATTTGCTGCATTAGAATTTGTTATTTACTTTTTATAATACTTTTTGACAACTGTATTGCCTAAAATTAAAGAGTAAATTATATTGATATAATTTAGGTTTAAATATTTTATAACGTTTTCTATCCGACTCATGTTCTCTCAATTTTTTATCAACGAAACCATCTTTATATCCAGTGTGTATTCGTTTTAAAAATAAATTAATACATTAACACGCTATATTCATCATCATATGTTAAATAAATCATAATATATAGTGTTTATAACATATTGTTTGAACAATAGTTTTCCAAGATACTTTAACTCGTCATTTATTTCTAAATACTCCTCCGGTTCTTAATATAATACTTATTTAACTAATTTGATTAGATTAAGAAAGTTGGGTAAGTTAGTTAATTATAAGAAATATAATATGTTTTTCCCAAAACACTATAATCATCTTTTTTAATACCCTTTCTCCTTCTTTTACTTGATTATGGTTGAGAAAGTATCAATAGGATTAATTTAGAAAAAAATTAATAAAGATAAGAAATATATCTTATTTTTGGGACCAAAATCAACTTAACAATTAGATTCTATATTAAGGACTGGAAGAGTATTATTTCTCACTTTTATTATTTTTATAAGTAAAGATTATACATCATCACAGTCAAGTCTCTGTTTGAAAATTTTATTAATTATTAGAAGGACCTGAATTTGAATATTGGTACCTTTGTCTATGAATCCTATAGAGTAACGCCCTGGTACTGTTTATGTAATCCTTCTCTAAATTATATTACAAAACAAGTCTCACATTTAGGACTACAGGATTATAAGATTTCCAAATAGCAACTCTTTTACAAATTTCCCAAATTTTTCTCATCAAATTAAGGCAATTTTTTTTTTTCATAAAAAGAAGCTTAGATGAATAGAGTCATGATAACTCCAAAAGCACTTACAGATAGAAATATCTATAGATCACCTCCCAACATAATCTTTATTTTAATAGCGAGATTTGAATTCAAAGATTACTGGATTATAAGGCAAATTCTTATGAACTAGAGAACTTTGATTGGTTTAAATTGAGACTATGGTTTATTTGCTACGAGTCAGTTTAATAAATATATGAAGTTCGTCTTCTATCATGTAATTTTATTGTGCATATTTTTACATTATTTTATATTACTTACATTTAATATACTTTGGGCAATTCATATACAGACAAATGGAGAACGCAAAAGCATACACTACAAAAAAATTGACTTTCCGCGGCGACAAAAGTCGCCGCCGAAAGTTTTTTGCGGCAACAAGTCGCCGCTGAAAAGTCGTTGCCGTAGCAGCCGTGGCTGAAAACTTTCAGTGGCGACTAAAAATTTCGCCGTTAAAAGATACTTTCAGCGGCGATAAAAAAGTCGCCGCAGAAAACACTTTCGGCGGCGACACTCTTGTCGCCGCTGAAAGACCTTTCCGCGGCGACAAATGTCGCCGCCGAAAGTGTTTTCTGCGGCGACTTTTTTGTCGCCGCTGAAAGTAATGCCTAAGAAGAATTGACTTTACTAATGCCACGTCATCACCGCCGGTGCCACGTCATCGTCTCCGGCCGCCACGTCATCACAGTCGACCTCCACGTCATCGCCATCGGCGGCCACGTCATCACCACCGACCGCCACATCATCACTAGCCACCTCCACGTCATTGCCACGTCACTCCTCCTCGCCACGTCATCGTCTAAATATTTTCACCTTAAATGTGTTTTCTTCCAGGTTCGAACTCGTGACCGCCTCCTTTCGTGTCCAACCTTCTTGCCGCTAAGCCAGATTGAATTTGTTTATTAATATTGTAAAATAAAATATATATTATTATATTATACTTTCGGCGGCGACAAAAAAAGTCGCCGCTGAAGGTCCACTTTCAACGGCGACACTTTTGTCACCGCTGAAAGTCTTGGTTTCAATAGCGAACTTTCAGCGGCGACTAAAAAAGTCGCCGCTGAAAGTCCACTTTCGGCAGTGACAAAAAAGTCGCCGTTGAAGGTCCACTTTCGGCGGCGACACTTTTGTCTCCGCTAAAAGTCTTGGTTTCAATGGCGAACTTTTAGCGGCAACAAAAAAAGTCACCGCTGAAGGTCCACTTTCAGCGGCGACACTTTTGTCGCCGCTGAAAGTCTTGGTTTCAATGGCAAACTTTTAGGGCGACTAAAAAAGTTGCCGCTGAAGGTCCACTTTTAGCGGCGACACTTTTGTCGCCGCTGAAAGTCTTGGTTTCAATGGCGAACTTTCAGCGGCGACTAAAAAAGTCGCCTCTGAAGGTCCACTTTCAGCGGCGACACTTTTGTCGCCACTGAAAGTCTCGGTTTCAGCGGCGACTTTTTGGTGTCGCCGCTGAAAGTGGACTTTCAGCGGCGACTTTTTTTGTCGCCGCCGAAAGTCGTCACCTAAAGTCTATTTTTTTGTAGTGATATTTTTATAAAAGCAACTGAAGCACTAATAATCCAGAAAACCGAAAGCAAATGAATTTGGACTCAAGAATGAAGGGTAAATTATCAATGTAGGTTGGACTCAATTAACATGGAACATAACTTTCAATGTTAAAAATTTGCCAACAAATTGAAATACTATTTTGAAAGCTAGAAATTGTGTTAAACCTATTCAAATTGAAGTACTATAGGAATTTTCCTAAAGGAAGTGTGAACAGCCTTGCTTCTAAGTCTTAGTCGTAATAAAGGAATTTGTTCTATCAATATATAATGTTGGCAATTTATCCAACTTTCTTTAGTCATTTTCCACCACTATTATTTTGTCCCTCAAATACTAATTTAATCTGAAATCAGAAATACTTTTCTGAAATCAAATAATGTCTTTATAATTCGACCTGGCAACGAGTAACTAGCACACTAATCTAATTCTACGGTAATTTTATAAAATTAAGATGAATTGTTATCTTTCTCTCTCATGCTTTTCTAACAGTGACTATGAATTTCCAGGAAACAGTGATCAGAGCCTTTGTCGTTCGTCTTGGGGTTCCCAATCAAAAATAAATCCAAGCAATGCAATATAGTGCAAAACTCGGGTCGTTTCACTTTGAGGAGCCTTTAATTGAAATCCTAAACAAATTAAGTATAAAAAAAAAACCATTGACTTAGAAATGGATTGATTTTCTTTTTAACTAACTAATTGGCAGAATTTAAAAGGATGCAAAATGAGTAAATAATTTTTTCGATTTTTAGTTTATAGAATGGATATGAATGAAATAAACAAAGAGAATTAACAAGTGACAGCAAATGGAAAAGCAATCATCTAGCACAATGATTAAGGCTATCATTACTTCAATTAATTTGGGAGTTAGTTAAATTCAAAAGACTCTAAGGGCCACCCCTTAGACTCAGTTTAATTAAAATAATCAACACCAAGCCACCTTGCATATTAATTACTCACAATTAAATTGTTTCAGCACAATTAGCCAAAAAGAATCAAGGAAAAGCAATTAACATGTTTGGTCCAATAACCAACCACTTTGAATTACTACTGAATATTCACAATAATTTCAAAACATAGTCTGACCCAGTACAATGTAAAGAAGTTAAAACTAATCACAGCATAATGTTAAATGCTAATCAAATATTCCAGCAACTACAACCAATCTCAATACAAATATAAATCATCAAAGCACATTCAAACATTGTAAAATTCATTCTAAAACCTAGAAATCACAATTACAATGAAGAAGTAAAGATTGGAAGAGTTGAAACTCCCCTTTGAAGCTCTAAGTTCAAGCCATAACCATTGCTCTAAAGAATAGAAGGATTTAGCTAAGCATCTGCATCACTAAAGCTCCACCATATGCTTCAGTGATTAAAGCCATAACAGACAGCACAAATGAAGATAAAAGAGACAATGATGATGATGAATGGGCTTCCTGTCTCGTGGCGTGGCACTGAGGATGGAAGTAATTGAGGAGGACGGTTGCGATGGTGTGGAATTGGATTGATGGAAGATGGTGGAATTGGCCGAAACTC